AATGAACGTTTAAGAGCTACACAAAGATCTTTACCGCAATTCAAACCAATTGAGTTTGAAATGATTAACAGCGAGACGTATCGTCTCATAAATTCAAATCCTCTCATATCGACCGACATGTCGGTGGGAATGGACTCTCAAAACCATAATTTTGATCATCAAACGGATAATTCTTACAAATAAAAAGTCATAAAAATAGAAATTCATTGTATTTATTGAATTCATCAGTTGTTCAATTACTACCAATTTTAATATTAAATGTTATAAATTATTGTTATTGAAGTTTTGTATTATTATATATGTGGCAAGTGTTTGACGAAATACTATTGCCTTTCTTTTCACCAGTGATCCAGTCTTTTGGAGAATTATTCAATAAAATTGTTATTTATTTAATTTCCATATCATTCGTCACTCCATTTATTTATAATATCCTAAAATTGAAGCCAACAAACATGTTTCATTACTGTAACAGTTTAACTTATATACTGTAATGTCATGTATTTGTAAAAAAAATCACCAATTGATATATTTTTCAAGAATAGTGTTTGTGCTAATAATAAATTCAATTCAATCTAAATGTGTTTATTTTATTGATGTCATTGAGTCTGCAAACAAACTCAAGACTAATAACATAATAGAGTATCGATTAACGCATCTTTGGTTCAGTTTCCGTTACGATAACAATATTTTTGGCGCTTTTTGTGACTAATTGGCGATCAATTAGTACTCAAATAAGAAATTCTCGGAAATGGGTGTCAAATGATTGGCAAACATTGCTTCTGAAGAATTGCATTCAAAACAAGAATAACTAATTCTGTTAACAAAGTGATATTTATGTTCATATTGACTGAAATGTATATAAACATTAGGCATAGATTGATCACAGACATGATTATGAATACAAAGTTATAAATTCATGAAAATTTATGAATTCACGAAAATACATGACAATGATTAATATTTGAAACATTAATATTTGAGACATGTCTATCTTAATGATAATAAGTTTTAAAATTCTATTATTTCTGGAATTCAATCGAGTTTTATCACAAAATTCTAATAATGACTATTATTTTGAAGACCTAGACTCTCATGAGATTAACCGCTCAATTGAGTAAGTGCAATTCATAATCACTTTTTTAATTAGTAATTATATAATTTGTTAAGTATTTAATCTAGATTTAAATATAGAAATGATGTCTGTTTTATGGTAAATTAATAATGCTATTATTAAAACTAGAATAACTTTCTATTAAATAATTATGAACTTTAACTTTTTTTGCTTATTAATTTATATATTTTTGTTGTTCATTGTTTTTATTATAACATTCGTTATAAAATTAATAGTTAAAGGTTTTTAAGTAAGTATGCTTTATCTCAAATAATTATCTTTTATTTCTATTAAATATATTTAGATATTAATTTTGAATTTCATAATAATTTTATTTAATGTATTATTTACAGAAATATAAACTTAATATTCACAACACATTATGATATAATTGAGATGAAACTGAATGAAGACTTTATTAAAATAGAGAGCAAAACACTGAAAACCCATTTACTCGATCCCACAGAACTTTATATCAATGAAAACGGCAATTATATAATCTATGAGACCATTGGCTCCTATTTCATCTGTGCGATGGATATTAGCCGACCCAACACTTACGGCCTGACGAGTACACACATACTGCCCAACACTTTGAGGGCGAACTCCAAGCTATCCATCGATTGGATTCACGACTTATTCTATTGGATCAAAGATAAGAAGCAAATACTTGTGTCGGAGTTTGCGAGCCTTCATCAGCCCATTGTCTTCGCCAACAAAGTGTTTGACTCGATCACCACTCTGGCCGTCAATCCCATCGATTCACTGGTCATTTGGGTTGAGTTCGACAGCGAATACAACGAGTATTTACTGCAGAAGACATCACAAGACGGGTCCAACAGAACACAGATCTATAAATTCAAACTTCTCATCAAAACTCTTGACTTTGATTATCAATTGAAACGCATTTATTATTTATCTGCGTTTGAGTTGAGCTCAATTGCATACGACGGCACCGGTAGGCGAGTGCTGGTGCCCGAAGCTAATGCCATATTTCAGTTCGAGATATTTCGTAACCATCTCTATTGGATTGAATACTCGGATAACAAACTATTCAGATCTCATTTGACACAACCCTCGAGTGCTCATCAAGTATTCAATCTTAACAACACAGTCAATAGGTTTGAGATCACAGGCCCCGGGCGCCAACCATTTAATATCAACCGATGTTTTATGGCTAATTGTACGGACCTATGTCTGCCGGTTGATCACCAGTACTACCGGTGTGTTTGTCAGCAAGGTTATCAATGTACTGACAATCAAACGAAACAATTGATTTACAATTCAAATACAAATGAATCTCATAATTCTGACACAACAGTCATTCCGACCACAAACTCACAAAATGCTATCATTTCTTCACTATTTTCTGATTTCGAGAAATTTTTTAAACCAAGTGATGGCTCATCAGATAAATCTATGAATAGTTCAGAAGTCAATACTAATGATAACATCACTTCAAATATTTTAAATGTCACTGAATTGACTAATATTGAGTTAATGAATACCACTATTTCAGAGTCCGCTGTGAATATCACTATTAATTCGTCTAAATTAGAGACAATTACAAGACTCTTAGATAAAGATTCCTATGAAATGATAACTAATGGTAAAACTGAAGATATTAACAATCCAGATAAACAGACCAAGAATACGACAAATTTTGAAGATTTAAATAATAAAACCTTTAATGAAAATGTAATTATTAATCGAAATGAGTCAAACCTTAATTATAATAATATCCTAATCGGAGAGATAAAAGAGAGTTCAAACCCATGGATACCACATAACACATTGTATACCCCATTAGCAATCGGTGGCACTATACTGATCACTGGCCTATTGATTGGTGCCGTTATCGCTGCCATAGTCATCAGGATCTACACGAAACCTGATGGGTAATTATCATTTTGATACCTATGCATTTTATTAGTGAATCTAAATTAATTATGTGTTGGTAGTAAACAAGTTTACGATATATCACCAAACAATACAGTGGCTACTGATTGGGATTCCGTGCGCTTTAAGAAATCTGAACAAAACATTTATTTCGGAAAGTTTTTGGTTAAAGACGAGTACTATTAAAATTATCATCAAATCTATTCAAATGTATGTATATTTGTTGTATTTATTAAAGACAACTTCAAATATTTGAATATCAATGAGGAAGTAGTGATTGATTTGAATAGAGAGATATACCATAAATAATATTACCTGTACTTTGATATCAAAATGTGATTAATTGATAGCAAGGATATTTTCAGCGTTTATACATTAAGGCGATAAATCATTTAAAAATAACAATTTTTGTGTTTAAAATTCATTTTTCCTTAAAATAATTTTGAATTTTAATCTAAAATAAAATGTTACGAAAAATGAAAATATTTATGAATAGTTTAATATTTTTATTAATTATTTTAGTTAATCAAAGTATTTCTGGTATTTATGCCTATTATACAGTAGCAATCTATGTAGAAAATCTAATTTTAGTTTTAAAAAATTAATTAAAGGTTTTGTGATTTAATCAGAGCTACCGTGCGATGGATATACATATATGAAGGACCAACACAACTGCAGCCGCTTCTATAGGTGCGACATATCCGGCCGCTCACAGCACTTGGATTGCTATCCGGGGTTACTATTCAATGAATACATCAATGACTGTGACTTTCCATATAATGTTCCCGAGTGTTCACAATATCCATTCCTCTGCCAATATTTCTCTCTGTGTTGGCCTCCAGTTATCACATCTCATGACAACTCATCCCTTCATACAAACGCCACTCAATTATAATGAATTTATTTCTTTATTCTTTCCATTTATATCGTACAAACAATTTTCATATCATTTGTATTTGTATTTATTATTTATATAAGCATTTATAAGATCTATATTTGTATTAATGTAGTACATTATCAAAATTAGGAATTTAAATATAAGCAAAAGTTAAGCTTAAGACGCCTATTGATGTTTTTTTTATAACACAGTTTTATGGTATATTGTAATTATTTTATTTTTTGTAAATTAACAAACCAAAGTTGCATTACAATTACAAAATTCATAATAGAGTAAATAAAATTTTAAATCTGTAAATTACATCAAAACTTTTATATCAAAAACAATAAACATTTCTCAAAAACAATTTTAAATAATCCAATCATTATTTACCTTTAAAACAATATTTAAACAATTACAAAAATGTGTTAAAGTTTATCTTTTATCAGATTATTATAATTTGATTAATAATTCAAACTAAAAGACATTTCTATTGATCCATAAATCATGAAAAGATTGTAAATACCTTTAAAATTAATGAATTTCTAAATATAAAAAAAGCATTCATACATATATTATTCAAGCATTGAGTGGAAGGTTATAATAAAAAACATAAATAATTTGTATTAAATATATGTAAAAGTGGTTTCCTTTCGATAAAATCTGAACTAATATTTAAAACAATGTTTTTATAATGACTTTCGATAAAGAAATAAAAAGCCAAATATTTTTGAATGAATATAAAAGTGAATGATTTTCGCAAATAAATATTAACACCGAAAACATGAAAAATAATTTACATTATCTTAAAGTATGAAATCTAAAAAATTTTCTACTTTTTAAAAATAAAGTAAAGATTTATTGATAAATAATGAAATGCATGGCAACCGAAAGTGTCTGAAACACTGTATTCTCTTATGTATTAATAACTCGTTATCCTTGAGATAATTTAATGAATAATTAAAAGTCCTTTTTTATAGAAACATAAAACTAAAAATTTTAAACGTGGATATTATCTCGTAGTCTGCATTTTCGCCCTTACCTTGAAATTAGTGTCTTTTCTTGAAGAAAAAGATTAATTTTGAAAACGTTTTTTCTAAAACGCTATAAAATATTTTCAAACAACTCTCGGAATGTCTTACAAATTAAATATTAATTTCTCACTGACTTCTCAGTCACTTGTAATCGTATTCTCAATGTATTTATATGTGAAATGTTTGCATGTGTGGACCAAAAAAAGTGTGATTATTAACTTGCTAATAAATTAAATGCTATTTTTTATGAAACGGTAAGGATTTTGGTGGTTGGCGTGGATTGTGATCTATCGAAATGATAGCAACAATTTTATTCATAATTTACTCGCTTTTTATGATTTGTGCAAAAAGTTTCCCTCTCGTCTTTTTTTCGTAAAAGTCTAGCATTTGTGCCAAAACTGACATACGTTTGGCTCTGGAGTTAATGCCAAATGTAATAATAATGGTTAATAATTATTAGCTGTGTTTTTCCTAGCTTATGTATGTACTACCTTTTTTTAATTTTGACCATAATTTTAGTATAATTTTGGGGTCATTAATTACAGACAAGACATGTTTAATTATTTGCATTTGAATATTCAATTATATTTTTAGTTTCCTATTATTACTCTTTATTATTCTAAATCTAGTGATTAAATAATAAAAATGATTTTCATTCAAAACTTACTTTTCCTGTTTTTAATACAAAATTGTTTCCAGAACTCAATATATATGCAAAGACCTAGATATTTAAATATACATAATATGCCTCTAAATCTAATAGGATTAACGGTGTTGTCAATGTTTGCCTAATATTTAATTTTAAAACTCAACTCGAAATATTGACATGAATTTTATTTTAAAGTTAAGCAAATATTTAAAACGAATATAATTTTATTTTATTTAAACTCTTAACGTAACTTTTAAATGTAATAATTTGCAGGTAAAGTGTGGATTAAAAACATGTGGCCATAATAAACACCCCTATTGTTCATTCAGTGGAGCTTTGAATTGATTTGAAATTTTGTTAAATAACTATCAAAGTCCTACTGAATAGATAATAGTTTGGTCGTAATTCAACATTAAATCACTGTCTTTCCATTAGTAAGTAAATATAATTACAACTAACAAAAAATTATATAATTTATGAAATTTTATACTTAAATTATAAACATAATTCATTTAATGACTGTTTTATAGAAATTTCTATCATTTAACACACCTTTTAATAGACTTTGCGTAAAAACATAATAATTATCTATATATCAATACAGTACATATTTTATTGGATTCTATATAATTTACAGAATCATTAAAAATATAATAATAATATGCAAGTTTTGAAATCATTATTCTTACAAAATATTAATAAAATAACTTTTATATATGACATATACCTACGTAATCTTAAAAAATACATTATATAAGTAAGTGTTCACACTCTCGTGTCTTTAGTACAATATAGCTGTCAATCTCTTACGTAAATAAAATTGTTTTATTTTTACAATTTTACTCAACACATGGTATCTCACGCACACAAATTATTCTGCTAATGAATTCATACAATTCTTACGACAATATTCTGTACAAAATTACTGTACTCTTCCTAATATAACCATTTAATGCTGTATTTCCTTGATATATCGATTTTTATGAAATTCCTAATAATGATAAAAATAATTATTTTATTAACTTATTTTCTGTCTATTTTTATTCAAAATTACATTTAACAATCTATGACTTTTATCAGGTATTAATATAAAAATATATTAAATATTATATTACTTTATTTTGGGCTTGAATTTCTAAGTATTCTTTTAAAATGAAATATTTTATACATTTGCTCTAAAATACTGTAAAATATAAAATGAATAAATTTTTGACACATAATAAAAATAGTATAAAAGGAGGAAATATAGTTGAGAAGGAAATACATTACAGATGAGAGGAAATGACAATTTTTGTGTTTAGTCTTTGATTACAAGTTCATTAACATATAAATTGCGGTAATCACTAAACAAACTGTTGTTCACTTTTTTATATGTTTTGAGATACAGAGTTTGAATCATTCATTGACACAATGGTTAGGAATTTTAGCATTACTTTCAGTGAAAATATTTCCAAAAGATTTCATTATTTAAGCAAAAGATTTGAAAGTATCGAGCAAAGAAATAAAGTCTTATATTTAGTATGCTTTATAGTTTGCATTATAATTATAACTGTAATTATCGTGTATTTCAGTTGCTTTTATGATAAATTCAATGACAATGAGATTTACGATAAGTTTAATACAGAATGCCTTAAAAGTCACAATTATTACCGCAGTCTCCATGGAGTACAACCACTCAAATTAGATGCCAAAGTAAGTTATAATACGTGAATTGTATTCAATAATCTGAACTCAAATGTCACTGAATATAGTTGATAGAAATAGCCGCAGCGAGGGCTGACTATTTGGTGTGGACAGACGTGTTTGAACACCCAAACTATGAGTTCAATTTTGGCGAAAACCTTCACTACATTATGCCATCGATTAGAAACTACTCGTGCCTTAAAGTAGTGAAGCCCTGGTATGAAGAGATTAAAGACTATAATTACGCCAATTGGAGACAATCTACAGGAAAGATCGGACATTTCACGCAAGTTGTCTGGAAGTCCACTGATAGAGTAGGTTGTGCTCAGGCCTACAGTACTAATAGCAGGAGACTATATACTGTTTGCAACTATAGTCCACCCGGAAATCATGTTCGCTATTATAAGGAGAATGTATTACTGCCTATCAATTACACGAATCAATAAATTGTTTATTTATAGAAATTTATTAAATATTATAAGTATTATGAAAGTATATTTTTGAATATATAATACAATTACAAAATACAGTATTACAAAATAGTTCAAAATTCAACGGATAACATTTTCATCGGAAAATATTTGTAGAATTGAATAGAATTTTGATATATTTGATGTTTATTGATACAAATAATTTATAGTGAAATATAACCTACAAATTTATTAAAATAATAAAATTATGTCATATATTTATCTATTTTTAATTTTAAATTTAATCTTGCGATTGGCTATTATTAAAAAATCACAAATTAAGTCAATTTCATCGCTTTTATCGACGGATATCTCAAAGTGTTTGATGAGTGAGAGGACAGCCATTTGGATGTGTAACTGAGCAAATCGTTTACCGACACACATACGGGTCCCGAAGCCAAAGGGCAGCACTGAAAATGACGGATATCTGTGACGATTGTCTCCTATCCATCGCTCCGGGATAAAGGACTTTGGCTCCGGGAAGTACTTATCCGACAAACACGTTGTCATGAAATTGGCAAAAATCAGAGTCCCTTTTAAGTGGATTTGAAATAATTATAGAATTTATTTATTGGAAAACTATTGATTTTATAATACCTTTTGGTATATGATATTCATTTAGTATGACATCCGTTGGCAGTATTCGTACGATTCCGGGAACGGTAGATGTGAGTCGAAAGCTTTCTTTAATGCAGGCCTTAAGGTATGACATTTGAGACAACTTTTGTGCAGTGATCTCATTATCGCCATTCATTACGGCATTGATTTCTTGGGACAACTTTTCTTGAATAAGAGGATTGTTTGCCAAATGATAGCAAACAAAATTCAATGCATTGGAAACCGTGAAGAGTCCGCCTGTAATGAAGTCCATTAAACACACTTTAATCTCATTGACGGACAATGTATTCAATGAAATCAATTCATTCATAAGGCTTTCGCAACTATTTTTGTCGCTGAGGGCTGTGTCAACATATTTTGAAAGTGTGTTAAATATACAATTCTCGGCGTTTTCTAACTTTTTGTATGGTTTTGTTTTCACATATTTCCACACTTTTGAGCTATAGTACAATTTCTGATAGGATTCAAACAGATCTTTGGTCGCATTTTTCATTATAGATCCCGAGATATTAACCCGACATTTGTTATCCACGATGTCTAGGCATCCGAGTCTTGTACCCAAACACCACAATGTGATCGACTCTAACACAAAGTTATAGGAAATGTCACGAAAGTCTTCAATTACATGATCATTAGTGTCCGCATTGAATGTGATTTGTTTCTCAACATATTTGACAAAGTTGTTACAAATGTCATCCAATTTTGTAATATAATTGGAAACAGCATCCATTTTCAACAGTGCTGGTGCTATGAGCTGTCGGTTTCTATACCTTTTAGAGAATAATAAATATTTATTTTATATTTGATTGTCATATAATTCAAAGGCAATACCATTCATCTCCATTCATGTTTGCGATTCCGACGGAACTGTATTTGTCTTTATTATGGGTCCGATAGTGAACTACAAAGTCATTAGAGGGACGTATCGGACATTTGCCTTGAGATCGGAACACCTTTTCAATGTCTTTGGGATCACAGATATAGACAATCACTTGATTTCGTTGGTATTCCTCCTTAAATATGGGCCCATATTTGTGAAACTTTTCAAACAACGCTTCGTGAAGTTTGTGGATATCATATTTGCCCACAAATCGCATGTATTGCCAGCCGGTGCCCACTAATGGCAACGATGGCTTAGGCCCCGGGATATCAGCGATACTTTTCGTTAATTGACTTTCATTTTGATTGACAAATATTTTGTTTATTTTCAATATTTGCGAAACTATTCTCTCGTTTACAAATATTTTAAAACTTTGCCCCAGTCTCAGTTTAAAAAATGGCATATTTTTGTGATTCACTTACATATAAAGCACATAATCTATGAGATAAATAGAAAATACATTTAATTTTTATGTCTGGTATTCAATTTTTTAATGTACAGTATAACGGATTTAATGAAGTATTCAATGAATTAAATGAAGCTTTTATGTTTGTGAATGTGGTTTTAAAATTTAAAATTTAAATAATTCTAAAATTCTCTTTAAAAGTAATGTGTCTTTTATTTTCAAGAAATTTTTATATGAAATGCAAGCAAAACCTTAAAACTAAATCACTTGAGAGCAAAGCAAACGAACAAATTCTTTAACATTTACTTTAAAATTTACTTTAAAATATTTTTATATGATTTCCCAGTTAGACAAAAGTGATATACGTCTACACTATGCACTACTGTAGAATACAGTACAGTATATGAACTGGTAGATTCAACATTTTGTGAACAAAAAACAAAATTAAGTAAAATATTTACTTTAAATGTTGAAATGGAAAATTGTTCATTAAAGCCTTATGATATATTTATAAGAATATATAGAATAGAGACATTAAATATTATATAATTATAATGTCAAATCTTGACAACTACTTGTTGTTATGAATATTCTGAATATAATGGGCATATAGTATTAATAATAATTTAATATAATTTATAATATAATTTATAATATGCTAGTGTACAGTATATGCACTGAATTATTGATTAAATAATAGCATTACAAATAGGAAAGAGTTTTACATAAGTTATTTGTGATATAAAATTGTTTTAGATTTAAATTTTCTATAAATAAACAAACAGTAAATACGGAACAAAATAAGGTACTTTTAAAATCAATATTAATAATTTATGATTAAATTGCATTATTTATAAGTTTTTCACTTTTAACATTACTTTTTCTATTTCTTTAATACTATTTCACAAAAAGCAAAATTATTTGACCAAATTATTTTAAAACCATGTATCCAGGTAATTTGTAAATTCCTTTTTATTTTCATTTGAAATCTGTTATCTTTCTTATTATCATTTTCAGTAATACTTTTAGTACATTACGTTATTATAATTTAATTCATAATAGATAATATGATATTTCTCTTTAAAATATTAAAATATAATAATTAATTCTTGATAATTTTAATGAAAAATATTATATTTTATAAATATTTTACTGTTAGAAACAATTTAATTACATTCTCAACTCCTAAACTATCGTTAACAAGTATGTTAGCATTAATTATACTTATAAAATTAAGTAAAAATTAATTCAATATACTGTATTTAGAAATAGTTTTATGATTAATTAAAAATTTATACAAATTACAAACTTACATTACCAATTTAAAAATGAAATTTAAAAATATTTTTCCAATAGATTTACATCAACTCTTTCACTGTAGTCATAGTTACATAAGAAGATGAAATTTATATTATAGTGGAGTCCGTATGCACTTAATATTTATACAGTACACGGAAGTACGAGAATCAAGCATTGCTTTCATTCAATTCCGTGTTTTATTTCATAGTAAAATATTTATATACAATTCTTTTCATTTAATAACAATAACTTATCAAAAATATTAGCACCAATATCATAATTAACTACAGACAATTACTTTAATACAATTACATTTTCTATATAAGGGGTTAATTTTATATCAAATGACTTACAATCCGTGAATATTCTTCCAAGAATTCAAGAATATTCTGAATGTATGTGTTATATGACCACAAGCTATATGTTAACTGACTGTTGCGCTCAGCCATTAGTGTATTGTTCGCATGCGTTCACTCCTATTGATTGTCTGAACTTGAAATTTAGTGCAATTTATCAAGAATTGAACATATTTTATAATTTTGTGTACTTTCAAAACTAATAATTCATTTTGGACAAGAGTTGTGTTTGATAAAAATTATCATGCTAGTTAAATATATGTTTATTTAAAATTATTATTATTTATTTATAGTTTAATCCATGATCAATAATCATGTGATTGTTGGGTGAAGAATATGTGGATATTTTTAGATTTAATTTAATAGTGCTATTTCCTTAATAAATATCTCACATAATAGAAATATATTTTTATGAAAATTCTTGCAAAACACATTAAAAATTCTTTGTAATAAATTTTATAAAATAATAGGCTGTTAATAATTTATTTACACGCTATAATAAAACAATTATTTCAATATAGCCATTAAGATATTTTTAAATTAAATTAAAGTTATTATATTAAATTAATTCTTAGTGATATTTATATTAAATTTACATTTCATATTACCTTGCAATTTACATTACTTTTTACAATTAAAATATTATATTTACTTTAGTACTAAATAAATAGTTTTGTAAGATAATAAATTTTAATATTAAATTTTTGATTTGATTAAATAAAATTACACTTTAAGTCTACATTATTTGAAAAGTTAATAATATATACATATAAAAATTAATTTATAATTTATTATAGAAATGAAATTTTATTTATAAATATATTTTACCATTTATTAATTATTTAATGAAAATGATAGACATTGAGAATATAAACAATTGTGTGATAAGGGATGAAACAATTAATTATTAGAGCACATTATGCTTCAAACATATTGATTTTATAACATTAACCCATATATTTCATTATCAAATATTGATTTATTTCAAACAAGTCAATGCTATCCTTAAACTATTAATATTTAATATACGGTAGTTATATGTAATACACTTTATTTATTTATTTAAACATGAATTATTGTTCACTCAATAAAAGTAAAGTTATATTCAGTGTTAGAGTTATATCAGAATATGGTTAAAGTAAACCCAACGGTAGATGTGAATGAAGTTGAGTTAAATAGGAAGTTAAGACATGCCTGTCCTCGCATCAAGAGATGGAAGTCCCGTATAGACGATGCCGAGGGAGACGTACACCGCATGAGGGAACAGGCCATCAATAAATCGCCCGTTTATGTGGCCATTCAGAGGGGCTCTAAGAATATTCAGATCAGAACTCGTACTAAAACAAAGTGGTGGAGGAAATGGATCCAAGAGGGCAAGAAGTATGGCTTTGATGTATGTCCGCAACACTTCATAATTAAATAATATTTCTTAAATGTTTGGCTAATGTTTAAAAATATCATTTAAGGACTCAATTTCGACACCAATTCATATCTCTTCAGACGCCTATAAAATCCAGAGACAGGTGTCGTTCGCCGCAAAATCTCCGCAAACGTCTCCGAGACGATCACTTCCTGTGTCACCCGTGAAGACAGGCATTCACTCACCGGTCAAAGTGTCGGTCCTTAAGACCGAACAGTACGTGCGCTCACCGAAGAAGGAATATCAGGCAAAGTGTGTGCCATTGCTTACACTGACTCCCGTCCCACTGAATCAGGTGCTCAAGAAGAAGGCCAAAATCATTGGCCACGTGAGCACTATTGGCAAAGGCCGGTGGGTTGAACAGGACAGGGAGATGCTGACAGTGCCCGGCAAACAAGTGTTTCAATGTAAGTCTAAATATAAAATGCTTATTAAGAGATAATTGCCATTCATTTGCGGTTCAGATGACAGCGCCTCTGATACTGAATGCGCTTCCGATGACGAGATCCAGAAACGGGAGAAAAGAGGCGGAGAGATACTCAACAAAATGATAAATCGTATGGTTATTAACAAATTAATAACCATGATAATTCATAATTATAGTAATGAGTGACGATTTTTATCAATTAATAGCTCCCAGTCCTACGGAAACCCTAAAACGTATGGCTTCAGCAAAACGTCGCGAAACGCCTCCCTCTCCAAAGTCACCGAAGAAGGCGTCGCCAAAGACTTCGCCGAAGAAAGAAGTCATTGAAGTCAGCGAAGAGGAGTCCGAATCGGATTCTTATCGTATGTATGGATAAAATGTTTTGCAAACTATTTTGATATATTGTATTTTTGTTTGTAAGTCTCGCCCACAAGCAAACGGATCCGATCCAAGATTAGGGCCGCCGGACAGACATCTCTACTATTCTCTCCCAATAGGAAGTCGGCGCCAAAACACGACGTCTTAGTCGAGGAAAGTGAAGGTTTGTTTGGTCTTTAGTTTGACTGCTCTTTGTATACATATTTTGTACCAAAAATAGAGGATAAAACAGAAGACGAGAACTATTCCCGAGTGAAAAGTGCGGCCATTAAGAAGATAAGAGCTACTGGTCAAGTGAGGGCAGCCCTCTCACCTGCCAAAAGTCCCCCAAAAAGTCCGCATAAAAGTCCAGATAAGAGTCCAGAGAAAAGTCCAGAAAAAAGTCCGGAGAGAGTGTCACAGAAATCAGGAAAAAGTATTACAATTATAGTAAATAATTATTATACGCTTTGTATGAATTGTGTGAATGTCTTACAGCGAGTCCAACCACACCGGCGGACATGAAGAAGAAGATCCGAGCGATTGGCAAAACCACAGCCGCTTTGTCTCCCAGAAGGGGCACTAATGAAGGCTTTACGAGCGATGATAATGAGATGCCTCAAGAGGCTGATGTGACTCAAGAATCGAGTAGAGATTTTCGATTCATTTTTGTTCACATCAATCATAAATAAATATTTATAAAAAATATAAATCAATATATTTTTAAAACCATTTATAGACCCGTCAAGTATTGGCGCTATATTTAGGAAAATTAAAACAATTGCCAGAATATCGTCGATAAGTAAAGCCCCGGACGCTAGTAATTACTATTTAAAATTGTTTATTATATGACAAATATTTAAAACAAATTGTTTATCACTTTAAGGTCCCTCTGGTATCAGTTTATTAATGACTAAAATGCGATTTCTTGTGAAACTCTCGCCGCGCAGAAAGAAAACTGAAACGTCTGAAGGTTTGTCACGTTTTATCCTTCAAATGATAATTTTTAGATAAACTTGTGTGAACATTAATACAAATCATAAAAATAGTTAATCATAAAAGTAGGCATTATTTGGTAAAATTACAATTAAATTAATTAATTATTTATTTTGTTTACAAATATAGATGAAGACGAAACGGGCGCTGAAACAGGTATTTCATGGATTACTTTAAATTAATTTATATAAATATAGGCATTATTTGGTAAAATTACAATTAAATTAATTAATTATTTATTTTGTTTACAAATATAGATGAAGACGAAACGGGCGCTGAAACAGGTATTTCATGGATTACTTTAAATTAATTTATATAAATCATAATATTTGTCTAAATATTTAACAGAAACGGATAGAGATGTAAAGCACAAGAAAAGAGAGAAATCCGTAAAATCTGCAAAATCTTCAAAAACGACAAAATCTGCAAAATCTGGTGACACCGAAGTCGGATGCTTTACAAAACTTTACCAAACAGTGTGTCCCTGTATTGCCAGGAAGAAAGAGCCGGATCTCATGGAGTATGAGTCGGGATCACAAGCTATTGATTAAAGCAATCGAGGATTTTATGTGTAAATAATGTGTTAAACAATTGAAACGATGATTAAATTGAGACGAAAAGAGTTTTTCAATGTATTTATGCTTCGGTTCCGCCGTACGTGTGATAGAGTTTGGGATAGAGGGGCGCCTTATCCTTCAAATTATAGATGGATGGGCCGGCACTGCCCTCGTAGGCCCGGTTCCGTCTCATCTGATCCATAATAAATCTTTTGCGAAACTTTGCGTTTTCGTCATATTTCTTGCAAATACACGAAAGAATACCCAAAAGTATACCAATGAGTAGTAAAATGATGACTATCTTGAAGCCAAACCAGAAGCCGGTCTCAAAAATGTCGAAATAGTTGTTATTACGGCTGTGTTTGCAATTGTCCTCTTCATCGGCATTATTGCCACAATTGTCGAAACCATTGCATCGGAAGCGACGATCAATGCACAGACCGTTCCCGCAGTCAAACAGCCATTGCTTTTCACATCTATTTTCTCGTTTATGCTCATCTTCATTGTCCTTAAATAATGTGATTATTATCTCAAACCCATTGTCATTAGTGGGGATAATGTGATCAGTTGTCGTGAATTTGACCACAACTTCGTCCGAATGATCGGACTTTGAAGTTAAGAAATACTTCGACTGTTTATTATTACAATCAATCAAATCGTTTTCAAACCACAGATTTGAATAGTTGTTGTTAAACTTGATGACCAAATAGTCTTGAAATGCGTCCGACTTTCTCAGATTTATATAATTTAAGTTAATATTAAGTCCTAAATGTTTGATATCATTGACGACACGGAGCTGACAGTCGAGGTCCGACCGGTAGGGCTGGTCACGACTGGCCCGGATTATGACCGACTGTTGCTCATCAGAGATGTGTATCTGTTGGTTGGCTGTCTGTGAGCTACAATAGTCCTGCATATAATAGGTTTGGGCTCTAATAATACCAATTAATAAATTAAATGAATTTAGAAATGAAATCCAAAACAAACATTTTATGGGAAACATTGTATTAAGACTTGAGTTTCAAGTCTCAAGTTTCTTCGCACTTGAAGTTTACGATTATTTTGTTAAATAAATACATTTAACTTATTGCGGACACTAATTAATAAATAATAACAATTAAATTAAATCAAAATCATTAGTTTTGTGAATCACAAATGCATGTTTGTATAATTAGTAAAACCCTGTGTTGAGTTTTGAATTTTACTTTAGTTTAAGTTTGATTTCCTAATTTTTTTGCTGATAAGATAACAAATTCAGTGTAAGTTATGCTAAACTTTGAGCCAATCTATCAATGCCTTACAATTTCTATTCGTATACAAGTGCTGGCATTCAAGTGCTTTTGAATTGTGAGGCACTTTCTGTTTGAATGCATTAATTTACTAATTAATGATATCTTATGATTAGATAACAATTCATTTAAATCACTTGATTTAATTCTCTATTTATTCTACAATTGGTACC